TTTAAAGGTGATCAATTTAACAAAGTAGTAAAATCTTTAAATATTGTTTTTATTTGTATTAATATTAATTTTGTTTTTGAAAAATTAAAACATTACTAAAATATAAATATATATATCGCTGTACATGTACAGTTATGTGAACTCATGATCCTACATCCTGTTGAAACTGTTTACTTATATTTTGGCATTGCTCAAGGTCGTGCGTTTCTCAGACTGTTTATGACGTCTTTACACTAAATCCATTGGATGATTATAATGATTGATACCTTAGTCTGGGAGAACATGATTCATTTATTAGTTGTAATTGGCTTTGAACATGCTTTCAGTAACTGCGAGTACTCTTATTTCGGTACTTTTTGTCTATTGTTTTTATGGTAGTTATTTTAGTGCCTTGTACTGATCTTTTGTTTTAAGCCAATTGCAACTGATTTTAGTTTGTTCTTATGTTTTGCTGTAACACAACTGTCCAAGGTTAGGGGAGATTTGAGCGCTCACAAACATGTTTTACCCTGCCACATTTTTTATGTGCCTGTCCCAAGTCAGGAGCCTGTAGTTTAGTGGTTTTCATTAGTTCATTTCTGTCATATTTGGTTTTTTTCATAATTGTTTTGTTATAAATATTACTGCTAGTTTTCTCAATTGAATCATTTCATATTTTTCATGTTGGGGCCTTCTATAGCTGACTTTACAGTATTGGTTTTTCTCATTGTTGAAGGCAGTATGGTTGCCTGTAATTGCCTAAATCCACTTCATTTGAACTTTGGGGGATAGTTGTCTCATTGGCAATTATACCACATCTCCTTATTTTTATATGGCATGATTTTTATAATTTTGTTTGATATTGTTAGGCTGGTTCAAGCTATGTAGACAAAACACAATCAAATACATTTTGCACTATTAACCTTGATTATTAAGCAAAATTACATTTCTGGGTGGGAATAAGGCAATTTGACAGACACAAATTGTGTTTTCTCCTTCAAGGCATTCGAAAAGACTAAACATATTTCTGAGATGAAATTAACAAGGAAATAGACAATCATATGTCTTGGAGGTCATATCTATAATTCCATTTTTATTGGCTGTATATCATCCATAATTCTGATACCCATATAGATTGTGACCATTCCCAGATATCACTGATAAAATATAAAGATTTATAAATGGTTTTATGGAGAAGATGTTATTATGAATTATTGTTTTGTTATGATCATAGAAGAAGATTAGTTATGTGCAACGGAATAAATTAAATAAATAAACTACCAATTTATTATTGTTAATGAGGTTACTGACTTTGTTAAGAGGAGGTAATATTGAACATGACCATATTTGACAATAGTTTGCCATGTTTATGATATCTGAGGTTTAGTGTTGTCTAACTTCAGTAGTTTGTTTAATTGATTTTACCTCATAATGTTTATTTGATAGAGTTTTAGGTTTAACATTTGTACAATTTTATAACAAACAGATTTATTTGTGGAGAATCCCAGAGTTCTTGGCTAATTATATGATATAAACCATGGGCATTCAACAATTAATGGTGTTACACTCCAGTAGAATCGTGTAGAGAAAGCCCATATATTTTTAAGAATCTTTGCAACAGTTTAAGCCTGTTTGAGCACAGCAAAATGGTGTTTTTTAACAGGGTGTAAACGATTGAATCTGAAGTTTTGTAATATAATATGATAATGCAATTGGATTACAAATGCGTTAAAGCCTCTAATCTGATACTAGACTATCTTCATATTTCTTATAGATTAGCAGCGTACATAAATGTCAACTTAAGCAGAGCGTTTCAATTTCAAAAGATGTAATTGTGGTATGACTTAAAGGGTGTAGTTGTCATAAAAATGTTATAAAATAAATGAGATAGCATTAAAAAGAAACATTTTTCATAATTGAAGATGTACCATGATTAAAATAATTGTCCTGGAAATTGTCTTACTTCTTCTATTTAGAGTTTACGATTTTCTGAATTAATTATTAACAATTTGTCATTATAAAGTGCTATAATCTTATATGTCTGGAATCTGGAGTATATTTCTGGATTTTCTATATGAATGCTTCATCTTATCAGATTTTTGATCCAATTGTCTTACATGGACTAGACTACTCCCTTTTTATATATATTTTTTTATGACTAGACATTTCAAATATTGTAAATGAGGGTGTGTTGTCTTTTTGAATTTTAGCACAAAATTTCTCATCAGACGCTATTTCAAGGATACCTTACCAAACCCTCGGCCCATTCATACAAAAGTTTTTTTGGCTTCTATAGGGTAACTAAAATGCATTGGCTATCATATGAACAAAATTATACAAGACTTGATTACATCTCATGAATGTTAACCTTATGTCTTTTCATCTTTCAATCCTCATACTTTTTCTTAGTCCATGGATAGTAGTGTATTGCATATGAATAAGAAAAGTCATCCATATTCAATATGTAAAAGAGACAACTGTACTTTTCCTGATTATTTACTGAAGAAAAAAATCCCAGACGCAATAAATGTCAATTTACATGTTTGCATCTCGAATGTCATATAGGACTTCGAAAATGTATTAATTCATTATTGGCTATGAAATAATTTCCAAACCTGGAAATATAATCCATTAATTTCCCAGCTTTGAATGAAAATATCAATTTGAATTAAAAGAATATAAATTTGACAATAATGACGTGAACGCTGTTTCCTCATATCGGTTATTGTATGTGAAGATATTTTCTTTGTAATGAAGTCTTGAGGTGGTCTTTTAATGACAATACACATGCAATTCTATAATTAGTTGACTGTTTAATTCCCTTAATACATTTATAATTACCTTTCTGATTTTCATGTTGTCAGAGTGCATTCTTAATTAACATTCTAAATTTTAAAATTTGGTAAATGTCCCAATAGAAAATCAGAAATTTGATATAATAAGATATCCTACTCTGTTGAATAGTTGTCTCATTGGCCATCATACCACATCTTCTTATTTTATACTGCAGCTGAGACTACTATAGTCTCAGACTGCAGGGAAGGTGTAAAAGGCAATACAGAGATACAGCAATACAAGATACAAGATACGAGATATATATGAGATACAATAAAATGTAATATGAAATCAAATCAAGTGTGTAGGCCTACACTAATCAGTTTTCATTTAGACAGATAAACATGATAAAAGGATCGAATTCAGTTGCGGATCCAGAGGGGGGCGTAGAGGGCGTACGCCCCCCCCCCCCCCCCCCTTTACTTACACTTTTTTTTTTTTATTAAGACTGTTAAATGATTAATCAGACTTGATTTCGTTAACTTTGCCATTTACTGTATATTTCATACGACAATTCGTTAATTATAAAGATATTAATCGCTCGTATTTACGTGTAATATATTATTGACTATGTCAAAGTCTCGTGATTTGCTATCGTGGAGTTGACCAGTATGTCGAAAAAAAACGTCACTCAGTCATTTTGAAATTCAAATCACAGTAACACATTGCTACGGCTGAGGATGACAAGTATTACGCCTTCAAAGCGACAAAGGATAGAGCAAGGACGTATTGACTCCTATTTCACAATTCCACCCAACAGAAGGTACTCACATGATGAAAAAATAGTTCCACAGCTATGATACTTACGTACGAAAACATGTTTAACCCCACACAGGCCAGCCCATTAATAATATTGCTGAATAATGATCCCCAGTCAGTAATCTCAAGATAGATTAAAAGTCTAAGGTACTGACCATTTGATTTTCGGGCAGTCTGAAATATTTTAGAGAAAAGAAATTTTGGCCCTGATTTTTGCCTTAAAAAAATTCTGGCTGTACCTGGGTTGAAAACACATATCTTGCTCACTTTTTTTCTACTACAAAAAAACATTCCAACAAAATTATTTAGTATTAAATGTATAAAGAACGCAAATAATTTTTTTTGGGGTTTGCATGTAAATTCCAGGCCATCCTCAGAAAATCAATTGTTCCGTGCCAAAAATCTTGTTGGTATTTGAGAAATACTATTCTTGTGTTCTTAATGTTTTTAAAAGGAGTTTAGACTTAAGAGAGGGAAGTGACCAGAATGTCTGTTTCTCCGAACTGGTATACTGAGTACTTTTTTCAAGGACCAATTGCAACCTGCCTGTTAGGTGTTGCCTTTAGGTCTCCATTTCTCGACCATCATTCACAACTTCATTGTCATTTCAAACTCATTCATAGCTGCCTTTGGTTGATTTGGAACCACTCACTTCCCTTGTTGGGTGAAACATTTCAACCATACATTTGGATAAAAAAAAAATTGTCTTCTTTTATGTCGGTCGTATTGTAAAGGAGTAGGCCCGGTAAGACCCCTTTTTGGCCCCAAAATATAGCAGTTTTACAAAATTGTTAAAATGCAAATTTTTAGCTATTTATTGGAAAGAAGAATACTTCTGTTACATAAATATGGGCTGTTTTTGACAATACAATGCACATTTATTGGTTACTAGCATCATTAAGTCATGCTAAATTACTGAAATCTTCAAAATTTTAGCATTTTGGTTAATTTTTAGACGGTTTCCGTCTGAAATGGAAGTGGCCGCATTTGTGTTCATTCTTAATATTTGAATGTAAGTTGTATTTGATGATAATACATAACATATATAAAGGTTGAGAATGAACACGGATGCGGCCACTTTCATTTTTGACAAAAACCATCTGAAAAGTGACATATTATGGCATATTTAATAGATTTTTATACGACCGCTAAAAAATTTTGTGATCGTATATTGGTATGACGTTGGCGTCGTCGTCCGAAGACACATTGGTTTTCGCACTCTAACTTTAGTTTAAGTGAATGGATCTCTATGAAATTTTACCATAAGGTTCAATACCACAAAAGGAAGGTGGGGATTGATTTTGGGGGTTATGGGACCAACAGTTAAGGAATTAGGGGCCAAAAAGGGGCCAAAAATAAGCATTTTTGTAACTTCCAGACATAACTTGTGTGTTAGTGTATGGATCTCTCCGACATTGTACCACAAGGTTCCATATCACAAAGGGAATGCTGGGATTGATTTTGGGGGTAATTGCTTCCAAATTTTAGGAATTAGGGGCCAAAAAGGGGCAAAAAACAAGCATTTTTCTAGTTTCATGACAATAACTTGTGTGTAAGTGTATGGATCTCTCTGACATTGTACCACAGGGTTCCATATCACAAAGGGAATGCTGGGATTTATTTTGGGGGTAATTGCCTCCAATTTTAGGAATTAGGGGCCAAAAAGGGGCAAAAAACAAGCATTTTTCTAGTTTCATGACAATAACTTGTGTGTAAGTGTATGGATCTTTATGAAATTGTACTGCAAGGTTCCATATCACAAAGGGAAAGCTGGAATTTATTTTGGGGGTAATTGCCTACAACGTTTAGGAATAAGGGGCCAAACAGGGGCCAAAAATAAGCATTTTTCTAGTTTCCAGACAATAACTTGTGTTCAAGTGTATGGATCTCTCTGAAATTGTACTGCAAGGTACCATACCACAAAGGGAAGGCTGGGATTGATTTTGGGGGTAATTCCCTAGAAATTTGAGGAATAAGGGGCCATAAAGGGGCAAAAAAACAAGCATTTTTCTAGGTTCAGGACAATAACTTGTGTGTAAGTGTATGGATCTTTATGAAATTGTACTACAAGGTTCCATATCACAAAGGGAAAGCTTGGTTTGAGTTTGGGGTAATTGCCCTAAATGTTTAGGAATTTGGGGCCAACAAGGGACCAAAAAACAAGCATTTTTCAAGTTTCCAGACAATAACTTGTGTTCAAGTGTTTGGATCTCTCTGAAATTGTACATGTGAACCTCCTGACGGGAGTACAATAATCCTGTTTTCAGGGGTCTCCTCATGACCTCCCGTTGAAGACAAAAAATTCCAGTGTATGAAATATTTCATGAATGAAAAATTTCAGCCCAACATATCTGGTGTAACTGACATTACCTGAAGTTATATTTTACCTGTAAATCAATTAACATGCATAATTATATGGCTTCACTTGTCACCTTGGGTGTCAAACATACTGGTTATCAACGATTTTTACCTCAGGCTAACTGCTGTTGTGTAATAAAACTTTGTGTAGTTAAAATGAATGTTGGGTTACTTCCCTTGATTTATCCGGTTTTAAGTTACTTTCCTTTAGATAATGTTAATTTTTAAAAGAATATAAATAAAATATAAATTGAACAAATAATCATAAAAGGATGGTAATCAAATGATTTTAAATGTCTTAGGACAAATAAAAAAATAATAATTTGAAAATTATTTGAGGGTTCTATACTTCCTTTCAAGGCTTAAATTGAAATTTATATAATAAATATGACCCATGAATTCTGTTTGAATGTATTACTTATCAAGCATTATAAATCTACTTGCATAAAGATAAAAAAAAAAAAATCTACTTGCATAAAGATAAAACAAAAGATCTACTTGCAGATAGATAAGCAATTGTTTTGATTGCAATGAATAATGGTAAAACAGATATGACCTAAAAAATTTAAAGAACATACTAAAAAAGAAGAATGTTAGATTGAACAAGTTGAAAGTTTAAAAAGATAGAGAAAATTTATTAATAAGTACAAGGGTACAATAAACATAATACATTCGGATGGAAAGTTGAAGAAAACACACTTTAACAGACAATTTCTACAGCACACGGTTACATTTATGACAGAATTTATGTCGATTAAAAACCTCCTGATCTGAGTCCTAATCTCCTGACCAAAATTTCCCAAACTCCTGATCTTAGTTTCACAGTCCATCACATGTATGCAAGTTGAAGGTACCATACCACAAAGGGAAGGCTGGGATTGAGTTTGGGGGTGATGAATCATAAGGGGGTTCAAAAAATTTTTGGGGGGGGGGGGGATTTTTTTTTCATTTTTTTTCTTTAAAATTTTCCATTTTAAATTGGTTATTTCTGATTAATATATAAAAGCAAATAATAATGATATGGTTTGAATAGATAAATTAAAAATTTTTAAGTTCTTTAGACCACATTCATTCTGTGTCAGAAACCTATGCTGTGTCAAATATTTAATTACAATCCAAATTCAGTGCTGTATCAAGCTTGAATGTTGTGTCCATACTTGCCCCAACTGTTCAGGGTTCGACCTCTGCGGTCGTATCAAGCTACGCCCCAGCGGAGCATTTTATTCATATTTAAGCTTGAATTTGAGCATCTTTAATGACTAAATCAGTTCAAATCTTTCACATAAACTAATTGAATCGACTGAAGTAGACACTTAAGTGTTTAAAAAGTGTCCAAATCTTTCATCAGATGAACCTGAATTTTGAGGCCAAAATCGGCCCTTACCGGACCTACTCCTTTCAGTGAATGGCCGTATATCTTGTTTACAACAAGAAATCTCTGAGGATATGCTAACTAACCATACAACAAACGTCAGTCACCATTGCAAATTTATGTCTCCCCTGCGACTTCTGTCGCAAAAAGCGAGACTTAGGGATAGTGATCCGGCGGCTCTTGACTTAAAAGCTTAGTATTTCAAGGTAGAAACCCTGGATGCTTCATACTTTGTATATAGATGCCTTATACATGTATTACAAATTAACGGTCTGTCAGATGACCATTGTCCTTGACCTCATTTTTATGGTTCAAAAATGTCCAACCCTTACACTTTAACTATAAAATATACATGCCCCTCGTCAGGAACTGTTAAATTAGTGAATTTTACACTTATTTTATGTTTTTAGCCAAAAATAAGATCCAAAATTTTTTCGCCTCGCTACGCTTGGCAAAAGTTTCTATTATACACCCTCCCTTAAAAAAATCCTGGATCCGCCCCTGGAATTTTATTTACTATTTATCAAATATCACCTCTTGGAACTTTAGATAAAGGAGTAGTTTTGATGAGGTCCTAAAATGGCCCCTTTTTTTGCTTATAAATTTTAAATTCAGATTTATTGACCAATATCACACTGAATCATAGCTAATACAGTGACTAGATAGGAAATAAGCCTTTTTGTTGAAAATTTAAGTTCCTGCGTTTTATTCATGACGTCACAAATAGTACTCATTTAGATTTTCCAAGAAAAATCAATGAAAATGGGTAAATTTCCATTGATTATTGGACAGGATACATAGAGTGCATACGTCGACAAAAAATATCTTTAAAAATAATGTTTGTAATGACATTTTACATGTCTAACTTGAATATTCAGTTTGTCGACACCTGCACTCTATGTTTCCTGGTCCTAAATTTGGCTGAAATCCAACTGATTTTGTCAAATTTCACCAAAATCTCTTATTTTGACCTATTTGGGATGTAAAAATAAACGCTTTAGAATAAGCACCTTCAAATATGTGTATGTAACCTCAACTTTGCATGTTTGGAGATACATGTATCACCTTAAGTTAGTTATAATATTGGTACAAAGTACATGTACATGTATTATCAAAATCACATCATAATCAAAGAATGAAGTAAGAAGTTGTACTAGACATACATGTATATAATGTGATTCCATGTTTTAGACTGTATAAAAACTCTACATTGAAAATTTGTTTACTTATTAAATTATAAAATGTAAACCCACAACTCCACTCCACTCAAGCCTTCAGTACATGACTGTTTTAAATGACATTTGCTGCCATGCTTAATTGAGACTTCGTTTAATTAATTATGATATAAATTTTAGTATATTTCACAGATATTTTATTTCATATATCTCGTATCTTGTATCTCGTATCTCATATCTTGTATTGCTGTATCTCGTATCTCTGTATTGTCTTTTACACCTTCCCCAGACTGCAGAGACGAAAAGTTGTCTTAGAACTTGGACATTGTTATTTCAGTTCATACAGTTCATACGAAAATTGAGTAAAAATTGAGAAAAAAAATTTGTTGTTATTATGGCATGCTGATCTGCCTTTATCAATATGAATAACTTGAGTGTATATGACTGTAGAATATTATTCATTGGTGTCTTTTAATATAACCATTCAACTTTTCTATATTATATTGGTTTATCTATATTGGTAGTTAGACAGCATTCTGTCTCCTAAAGTCCAAGGCAAACGGCTGGAAAATTGTAATTCTAAAACATCTGCAGATTTGAATCCTATCAAATAGTTTTTGATCTTTGTCAATGATTTCATTGATTACACAGTCAATTTCTTGATATATGTACTTAGAAAGTCCGCTGAACTATATTTGGAAACAATAGTTTTAGAAATGAATTTTTTCAGTTGATTGCAATGAGCTATAAATGTCTTGGCTCATAGTGCTTTATTCTTTGATAAAGAAGTCATGCCTTCTCGTACTGTAATATCGACTACTGTATTTAGTACTTCGTTAGTTAGAATAACAGATGAAAACATTTTATTAATCCTTACTAAATTACCATAGCCAGTTGACCTGAGGTTTTTATGCCCCCGCCGTAGCGGTGGGGGCATTAAGTTTTACCCTTGTCCGTCTGTACGTCTGTACGTACGTACGTACGTACATCCGTCCGTACGTCCCAAAATTGGTTTCCGTTCTCTAACTTGAGTTTGCCTCAACCAAATGTTATGAAACTTATACACAATGCATATTACCACAAAACACAGATCAAGTTTGAATTTTGGTGGCGTCGCTTTAACTGTTCTAGAGTTATGCCCCTTTATAAATGGAAAAATTGCAAAATTTTTAGTTTCCGTTCTCTAACTTAAGTTTGCCTCAACCAAATGTTATGAAACTTATACACAAGGCTTATTACCACAAAACACAGATCAAGTTTGAATTTTGGTGGCGTCACTTTAACTGTTCTAGAGTTATGCCCCTTTATAAATTGAAAAATTGCAAAATTTTTTAGTTTCCGTCCTCTAACTTAAGTTTGCCTCAACCAAATGTTATGAAACTTATATACAATGTTTATTATCACAAAACACAGATCAAGTTTGAATTTTGGTGGCGTCACTTTAACCGTTCTAGAGTTATGCCCCTTTATAAATGGAAAAATTGCAAAATTTTTAGTTTCTGTTCTCTAACTTTAGTTTGCCTCAACCAAATGTTATGAAACTTATACACAATGCTTATTACCACAAAACACAGATCAAGTTTGAATCTTGGTGGGGTCACTTTAACCGTTCTAGAGTTATTTTATGATGATTTAAAGAAATAGAGGGAAAATGCCTTACATAAAGGAAAATAGACTAACTGTTCAGGTTCATTTTGGTCATGTAGCTCTCCAGCTGTTTCAGTTCTTTTTTGGTCATGTAGCTCTCCACTTGTTTCGGTTCTTTTTGGTCATGTAGCTCTCCAACTGTTTCGGTTCTTTTTTTGGTCATGTAGCTCTCCATTTGTTTTGGTTCTTTTTGGTCATGTAGCTCTCCAACTGTTTCGGTTCTTTTTGGTCATGTAGCTCTCCAACTGTTTCGGTTCTTTTTGGTCATGTAGCTCTCCAACTGTTTTGGTTCTTTTTGGTCATGTAGCTCTCCTATTGTTTCGGTTCTTTTTGGTCATGTAGCTCTCCACTTGTTTC